GGAAGTTTCCAGTCGGCTCGCTGCTCTCTGCAGCAGATTCGAGAGAAGTCCAGAACGAGGCAGCCGCAGCAACAGGCATTGCCGAAAAACTTGAATTCCTGTCGCCTTCGACTTCTCTGCCGCTCTGCAGCCTCTCCAGCAGCAGATCGTTCACGAGAATGTGCAACTGAAACCTGGTGATCAGGCTTTTTAGGCTCTATTTCCGCGCCTTCCGACGCATCCTGGAAGTTTCCAGTCGGCTCGCTGCTCTCTGCAGCAGATCCGAAAGAGGTCCAGAACGAAGGAGCCGCAGCAACAGGCATTGCCGAAAAACTTGAATTCCTGTCGACTCGACTTCTCTGCCGCTCTGCAGCCTCTCCAGCAGCAGATCGTTCACGAGAATGTGCAACTGAAACCTGGTGATCAGGCTTTTTAGGCTCTGTTTCCGCGCCTTCCGACGCATCCTGGAAGTTTCCAGTCGGCTCGCTGCTCTCTGCAGCAGATCCAAGAGAGGTCCAGAAAGACGGAACCGTAGCAACAGGCATTTCTGAAGAACTTGAATTCCTGTCGCCTTGGCTTCTCTGCCGCTCCGCAGCCTCTCCAGCAGCAGATCGTTCACGAGAATGTGCAACTGAAACCTGGTGATCAGGCTTTTTAGGCTCTATTTCCGCGCCTTCCGACGCATCCTGGAAGTTTCCAGTCGGCTCGCTGCTCTCTGCAGCAGATCCGAGAGAGGTCCAGAACGAAGGAGCCGCAGCCACAGGCATTGCCGACGAACTTGAATTCGTGTCGGCATGGCTTCTCTGCCGCTCCGCAGCCTCTCCAGCAGCAGATCGTTCACGAGAATGTGCAACTGAAACCTGGTGATCAGGCTTTTTAGGCTCTATTTCCGCGCCTTCCGACGCATCCTGGAAGTTTCCAGTCTGCTCGCTGCTCTCTGCAGCAGATTCGAGAGAAGTCCAGAACGAGGGAGCCGCAGCAACAGGCATTTCTGAAGAACTTGAATTCCTGTCGCCTCGGCTTCTCTGCCGCTCTGCAGCCTCTCCAGCAGCAGACTGTTCACGAGAATGTGCAACTGAAACCTGGTGATCAGGC